TATTTTAGATCACGCCACTACCAGCTTTCAACTCAAGATAAAGGAGGCTATTCATATTCAAAAAGAACTACCTTCCCTCAATCAGCAATTACACCATGTAAATCTAAAATTATCCTTTTAACTTACACCTTTTCACGTTCTTGTTGTTACTATTTGTCTTAATTAGCATTTTTGCCTACTTATTATTCAACTTGCTTTGTAACCATTCATTCAACTGAAGATGACAGAAGCTCTGTCGAAACATGTCTTGCAAACTTAAAAAATTGGTCGTTTTCCTTAAAATATTTACAAATCAAGTTTTATAGTTACTGTAGTTTATAGCTAGCTTCCCACCCACCCAGCTGATTCTCTGTGTGTAACCTTGTCGTTAGTATTGTACATAATAATGTTTTTGGATGATATAGTATTGTATGTAGGATTCCCTTTACGGAATCTAGAACGAAGGGCCGCTACTGTTCTATTTATTATAGTTTTCCATTATTTTCCGTAGTGTTGTAACGTAGGATTGAGCTTATATGTAATAAACGCCTGACCCCAACATGAGTGTCCAGTCTTTGATCAAAGCGGCTTCCGCTGCCACTCTACTTTCTCTTTCTCACAGGGCAAGAGTTGAACCGCATTTTTGTAAAATTAAATTGTACATACCTTGTTTCGTCAGGAAATTTGAGCAGCTCCATACAAATCAAACACCATTCTGAAGATCCCGCAATCGGTGGTCGACCATGGTATGGACCTCGGCGCTTCGGCTGGCAGCGCGGTGTTTTGAGAACAGTTCCACTCTCGGACAGGGAACTGTTTGGCTCGTGCACAGCCAGTCAATCAAATACAACCATGGGATACTTCACTGCTGTCTAGAAACCCCTACCCAATCCTACACCAAAAAAGCGCAAATTTGTTACCCTTTTCACTTTAATTTTCTCCATATCGCTACATCGGGAGAGACCTAACAAAATTTTACTCGGGCAGGATCTGCCTAGAGTTCGTTATATACCCTCTTGGCCTTCCCCTTTTACCCTATTTCCCTTTTTGTTAGAAAAGGGTACTTTTTGATATACTTTCCTCAAAAATGTGATCCCTACGGTAGACCCACTACATTTTTTTTGATGAATTAGGTCTGGGTCTTTTATTGTGTCTGTTCATAATACCCTTCCAACTCCAGCCTGAATATGGGCACCCCTAGCCTCATGTATATACTTTTAACCGACGCCCGACTCACTGTTACGAGGGAGAAGGCAATGGGAACTGACGAAACATTATGGGGATGGCAACCTCAAGCAAAGTATAAGATAACTTTCGGCTAACTAAAATGCTATTTAGCCTAGCCGAATAGTTATTTGGGCTAACCAGCAAGTGAGCCATCCCGTCTTAAGTGTTATTTCGGCTAAGCAGTGTTATTTGAGCTACAAGGGAAATGACTAGCACGGTACAGGCATGACCTCGGCAAGTGGCTCATACTTTGTGCCATCCCAAATGGAGCTTAACTACGTACATGAGTATGCAACACTTTTACACTCATGATTGGTACCCCAGCTAAAGTCGTACACTGCAGTCATGAAACCAGCAGCATTCACAGGACTCAAAAACAATTTCAGTTAAACTACTACAACTACCGTCAGTTTAATGCCAGACTAGACTTTACTGAAACCGCGAGCTTGAAAGCAATAAACTGTATCCCTCAACATATTGAATTATTAATTTGTGAAAGATTATGACCTAAAAGCGTTCTAAGAAAATAAACAGTTTGTGAAATGAATATCTTCTCCGTCAGATTTTTGTCAATTAAGACAATCAAGGGCATGAGATCAAGAGTAATTTGATTCTTTGTGCTATTTTGATTTAGACACTTCAATTAAACTAATATTGGTTTTAAAAACCGTTCTTTGCCATATATGCAAAGACGGGAATTTCACGTGCCTAACTTCTCGATGGGACAGACTGGACACATTTTCTGTGCGTTTTGCGTTTCAAAAACTACTGCCTGAGCAAGATTTTAACGCGAATGACTCATGAGCTAGCTGCCAAAACTCTCCCTGTTGCACCGTCAAGTCACTTGTGGTCATATTCGAGCCGCGATGAAGCCATTAGTGTCTGCCTACTAAACTCATAGAAGTCCTTGGAAGTAAATCTCGGCCGTGAATATGGGCTGGTGGTCAAAGGGCGCCTCCCTTATTCTGTTTCTTCTTGTAGCGAAGAAGCGTGAGCTTAGAAGTTCAGGTGAGACTTTGTTGTTGCATGGTAAAATCAGGGATCGTTTACTTTCTTTACAGCAGATACCTAATGTACTGATCGTGAGTGATAAGTTGTTAATTGCCAATGGAATGGTAGAAGTCTAATGTAAGAGTATTTCTTTTGGCTTTTGCTTTTGGTACACAGATAAACTGTTAACGCAACACATTTGACGTCATCATGTTTCGGTCGTTCAGCGACCACCATTAATAACGTTCTGTTCCGGTAGGAAAACAAAGTATACCTCTAAAGATGGTGCAGCTGAAATTTCCGAACGGATTTTCCGGAACTTTTCTCATTTGCAACACATTATAATCTAGCATGGATGTGAAGCAATTTCGGGTATTTTATAACAAGTTTTATCCCGAACAGAATTGCCTCGCATTCACGTTGGGTTACACTATTAAAAATGCAAATGAAAAACAAAATCTAACGGTGAAAAGGGCTATTGTCTGATCCTCATCAGTGGTTTTCAACTGAAATTTCCATACTTTGTTGTCTAAATACCTGCGGAGTACATAAACATCGAAGGTTTCGAAAGCAAATCGAGGAATCGAAACAGCAAACAGCTAGACGGTACAGTGGGTTGTCAAGCGTGACTTTCTAGGAAAAGGTTCAAAAAAGATCGTTACAAGCTCATAAATATGCAGCATTTTCCGGTGTTTCAGTTAGCCGTCAGCCGATTTCCTCTGCAAAAAATCGATCGAGAGCTCCTCGCTGAAATATCTATTGAATCTTCTGTGCACCAACTGCTCGAACTACTTAGTTTCTACTACTTGGATACTTTGTTTACATTTGGAATCAAGAGGCTCTCAAACTGTTTAAAAACCAGCCTAATTGAGACAAGTTCAGTGTAGCGTTTCTACTCACTGCAAGACTAAATTTAGTTCCAACTGAAGCCGAAATAACATTTGTCCATGGGACTCTGGTATCGTAGTTTCGTTGTAGTCTTAGCTCTAGTTGTGAGTAGTAACTTCCCATCATCCATTTTTACCTCAGGTAAGAATAATTTACTTTGATTATTATTGACTTAAACCAGCGCTAGATTTAAACATTGATAAAACACTTGGAAACTGAGCACTTCCGCTTTCTGTACTGCAGGGTTGTTTACTGCGGCCCGACGTATTTTCGTTGAAATATTTTGCCCTCAATGTGACGATGTAATTAAGCTTATACATTTGTATACATTAGTATACAAAGCTGTAAGTGAGCTTCCCTTCTCAATTTATTTTGTTCTTGGTCAGTTTTATTTCGGAAGGGCTATAGTTCCAACTTCCTTGACTTTACTTTCGCTTTGTAAAAGCTTAGTTTTCCGAGCTTTATCCAACAGGAGATCGGCAGAAAATCATTTCTACACCAGATAAGCCGACCAAGGTCTTCATTGGCGATAATGTTTCTTTAACATGGCGCTACTATCAGCCGAGTCATCTTACACTACGCCACGTGTTATTTGGTATTTTTAAAAGACCTGGCTATCTGAAGACGGAACTAGCGGAGGTCAATAAAAATGGCGTTCCTAGGGTGAGAAAAGACTATGGTTTATCACTGAGTTGGGCAGGAAACTTGACAGCTTCCCTTGCCGTGTTTGTGCTTTACAACGTGCAACCCGCAGACGGCAAGAAAACATTTGGCATACAAGTAGATTTTGGGTACGAGTATGACATGCTGACCGACATAGTGCGGCTTCAAGTCGAGGCCAAACGTAAGTAGTGTAAATCACCCCGGTCAGCTTGTAATAATTGTAGCCTCACATTGTAGCGAGGCCCTGTTAGGGGTATTCGGGATACGGGATATGAGGTAAAAAAAACGTACGGGATACAGGGTATTTGGGGCAAAATTATTGGGATATTTGATATTTAGATCACGGGTTAAAACGGGATATCGAGTAGGAAAACCGCTAATTTTTGCAGCTGGAATTAACAGGACACAGGATATTTAGGTCAAAAATTAACAAGATGTGGGATACTCAGACCCCTTCCCCCCGCTCCCCACCCCCTGATAGGGCCTCTTTAATTTACGGAGAAAGTTCAATTCTTTCACGTGGTAGAGACTCCACTGGAAAGAGAAATCTTATTTGGCTAGGACTTCCGTATACTCAGCAGAAAATGGCCGAACTTCTTTGTCGGAGAACCAGACTAGAAAATAAAAAAATTATATTGACTGATTAAAAATAGTTAATCGAATATGCGAAATTCAAGCTTTTAAAAATTTGGTTTTTAGCCATTGTGGATCTTCCGAGAATCACCTATGTTACTACTCCACCCCTGGTCGGGATGGGACAAAATGTCAGCCTTAATTGCACGGCCAGTAGTATTTCTCCTGTTAACGTCACGTGGTACAAGGGGAACAAAGTCTTGACTAATGGTATTTCCGAATCGGTGTTGACACTGAAGAACATCACAGATAAGGACTGGGGCGAGTTCTTCTGTGTCGCTAATAATTCTGCAGGAAAAGATGAGAAGACTGTTGTCCTCAAAGGTACGTTGCTACGTTGACTACGTTTGTTCTCTATCCTTGAGTCCTGGAATCTTGTGGCTGTAATCCACCCCTTAAACAGGAAGAAGCCAATGCGAGCAATAATCCCTTGTAAGAAAATACATAATTATGTATACTCTAGGTTTTCCTCGCAGATTTTAAGTATAATTATACAATTATTCCACGAGCACGCGTTGGATATGAGATGGTAGAGAGCCAATGAGGCACGTAACGCCGAATTGATTATAATCATCTCATATCCAACAAGCGAGAGTGGAATAATTGTTTTATTAAACACGCCCCCAAAATATAGAAAACTAAAAGGAAACAGAAATAACAACGCCTCAAAAAAAATCACGCGTACGCTTTCCATACACGTTATTCCAAAATGGCCGCCATTTAAGTATTCTTTCGTTTACTTGCAAATTAACCCTTTTTACCTCGTTCTTAAACTCAAAATTCAAAAGAATATTTCCCTTAAACGAGGCAACAAGGGCTCATTTTCAAGTAAACAAAAGAATACTAAAATGGCGGCCATTTTGGAATAAGGTGTATATTTGTAGAGCGTGGCATACTGGCTCATAACCTATGATGGCTAAGCCAATGAAAACTCCGGAATTACATTATTCAATGATCCAGTTTTTAATAAAAATAAGTAGGCCTCCCGAGAAATGTATGCTTTGGTAAATGGCGTGCTTTCCCTCGACCAACTTGTCGATAGAGGCAATAGATTCCGTACAAACCTCTGTAATTATTCAGTTGTAAATTTTATCTTTTTATTACTATTATCACTTCAATCTGTGTAATTGAAATGAGTAAATATAATGAAATAACTGAAGTAAAAGAAAATGGGCCGAGCTTTGTCTGACGTTTCTGTAAATGAAAAAGAAAACATTTCGATATGATTAAAACAAAATTAGATGGAATTTCATTCAATTTACTTTAGACGAACTTCATTGTAACTTCCTTTTTTACCGTTAAGTTCTCCCCGAGAGCCCAACAATACTGAACACAAACAAGGTTGTTCGCTACGCCAACTGGACGCTACAATGGTCAGCGGTTTACAGTATAGGAGTCTGGGTGACGTTATACACAGTCTGGCACCGAGTTGAGCACGTGACCAAGGACAGAGTGGCACGTGAGAAACCATGGTTACGCGAGAATGTTACTGGTCTTGTGTACCGCAAAGAACTTACCACTGACAGGTCTTACTTGTTCGCTGTAACAGCTTGGAATCGATGGGGGGAGAGTTTGTTGGAAAGAGACAAAATGTTGTCCATATCAACCGATTTTCCAGATAGCGCTGGTAGGATACCATTGTTCTCTATGTTTCAATGTTTAACGTTTACTGACCCTTTGCCACGTCCAAGACGCATAAAAAATCAAGAGGAATTAACTCCTCAGATAACGAGAAAAGTAATGAGAGAAAACTTCATTCGTATTGTTATATCTCTTAGTTAGTACGCTCGCTGTGATTGGTCAATTTAGCGGGCCGTATTCTCCTGTACGGCCCGCTAAAATTTGAAAGTTAATTTTGTTTTGTTGTTTTGTTTCCCAACTGTTTCGTGATTTATCGCCAAGTGCTCTTAACTTTTATAGCAAGTAAAAGTTCAAAACTTTCCTCTACGTTGTGTATTAAAGCGTGCTAACAACTTAAAAACGATTTAAAATTGACTTGCTTTGCTTTCGAGGTGCGTCAGAAATTTAAAGCCGTTCCGCGTAAATAGAAATCGTTCCCAAACCCGTCAGACACACAGTAGAGATATAATAAATATCGTACTAACCTCGTCTTCTCGGTCCACACTGTAAGTTAAGGATCCTCGTTTTTCCCCTTCGATTTATGATATCCGCGCGCTTCGCGCTTGCATCAGTCATAAATCGATGAGGAAAACACTTAGTCCGTAACTTACAAATACGGACCTCGAACTCGGTTAGCAAGAGCTATGTGTATGATTACTCTCGACTCAATTCAAGAACGTAAAAATCATTCAATATTAACTTAACAAGGATTTGGTAAAACAAAGATCTACATGTGCATATGTACCTACAAATATTCACATCTTAGTGATGCAAGTAAAAAATCGATCGTTTTAAAAAACTGTCGATCGTATATCGTTATAGTTAGTAATATGACGACCGGAAAGTGGAAACTTCTCAACTTTTTATCTTACGTTTTCTCTATAGCCTGCTCCTCGCTCATTTCACATACATCCAATAGATGCAAGCGATGCCCGAGGTAGGAGGGTGACCCTCCATACCCACCCACCCCAGGTTAGGTAACGTTTCGGGCTTTAGAATCAGTAACATTGCCAAATTGCTTCAGGGGAGTGGGAAAGATGTAATGTCTCACTAGAATATAGTGGTGAGACATGCTGCTTTTTTCTTTTATTCAGGACACTTTCGTTTTTGTTTACAGTTTCGACTGAGCATAGACCTTCAGTCACACCGTTTGACAGCAACAAAAAGTCTGATTTCACAGGGAAGGAAGTCATCATCTGGGGAGCCGTTAGTGCGTTTTTGTGCATACTGATGTCAGTGGTGGTGATTCATTTTGTACGAAGACAACGTAAAAGAAGTAAGGGAAAATATTTGAGTAAGTAAATATCCGTAATGCCATAGGAGAACCGTCTTTGGATATTTTCCCATTAACGTCAGAGTAGAATAGATTTTGGAAACAAATCAAAAAAGAGCAATTGTCGATGAATACTATTAACGAGGGTCTGGACAACGGAAAAAGTTACTTCTTGATTACTTAAATGAAATATTTTGTCAGACTGTGTAAACAATTTGCCCGGGAGCGTTCGTTATAATCCTGATCACTCCTGGCTCAACGGTGAACCACTACATACATGCATTCTTTATTTGGTAAAGCAGGTCAATAAATGGCAGCAAATGCTGATGAGGACTTGCTCTAACAACAGTAAATAACAAATAACTACACGCAAAAATAAGTGGGAAAAACAGTTTACAGATGTAATATCCAGCTAGCCCACTTGTTCAAAGAGTGGAGCAATCTCAACCAGTATCGTAAGAATTGTTCCTTACCGGTAAACCTTATTAAGTAGTTTATCAGGAGCGAACAAATGAAAGCTTATTTTTATGGCTAATAAGAGCGCGCTGTTAAATGGTTTTAGATGGGCATTGATGCATGAAGTAAGTCTGTACAGTTACCATTTGCTTATGAGGCAAACTTTTGACCCCTTCAGTATGGACGGTATGGTCTAAGTTCTCGTAAGCGACCACCTCCCGTGCGCGACCACCTAGGCTTGACATGAAGTGTAATGAATAACTTTTGTCCGTTTCTTCCAGATCAAACAGGGCACCAAAACGTAAAAGGGTATGTACTGTTCGTCAAGAGCAAAGATGGTTAAGATGGAGAAAATTTACACGGATTACAAACGACGAACTTAAAAAATTTAGGCTAAGATTTTCAAGATGCCCAAACCATGACGTAGCTCCTTTAAAAGCAATGGTCACACAAATTTGGCCAAAAATCTCATGTGCGCATGTGCACACCTAACTTTATCGAATGGCAGCTGTGTCGTCCTGGTTTGGTCAAACCACGGAGATGTGAGATCGGTGGCATCGCCATAACCAGTCCAATACTTTGAAATCTTAATTAGCTTGTCCATTACTGTCATTGGTCCTCTCAGGTAGTTTGGGCGTGTAATATCTGGATGGAGGTAACCCTCTTTAATAGGAAAGTCTGTAGCCATGTTAGTAAATCAAACCCAATTGCTGACACATAAAGCAACAGCCAGTCGATCGCTTGAGGTAGAGAGAGGTATCTCAGAGCAATTTTTTT